GAGAGAGAGAGAGAGAGAGAGAGAGAGAGAGAGAGAGAGAGAGAGAGAGAGAGAGAGAGAGAGAGAGAGAGAGAGAGAGAGAGAGAGACGTAGAGGGCGAGCCATAGAGCGCGAAACGTAGAGAGACACACGTCAGCGAGAGGGGGAGAGTGAGTGATAGAGCGAGGGAGAGACATATAGAGCGCACAAAAAAAACGAACGACGGGGAAAGCGAGTGAAGGAAGGAAAGCGAAAGAGACGTAGAGAGCGAGAGAGGGAGAACAAAAAGGGACGGGATAGAGAAGGAGCGAGAAAACAATGGGAGGGAGAGATAGATAGATAGAGAGAGAGAGAGGGAGAGTGATAGGGATCTTCTTTGGCGCATCAATCGGCGCAATTTTAGCGAAGTTTTTTTTTTAGTTATGGATGTTGCAATTGCTTGCGTGGGAGAAGTTCATGGTAAAGCGATCGAGGTTCAGGAGCTGCGTCACCGTCGTGGTGATGGCCATGGCCTAGATTTTAAATTTAGTCGGCGTGTTACAAGTGAATCTGCGCGTCATTATCTGGTGAAGGCAGACGAGCAGTTGGTTTTGAAGTTGTGCGTGGGTTTGGGGTATTATGAGGGGTTATTATGTGAAGTCACGGTTTACTTGACGAAGATGTCGTCGGATATTCCAGATGAGGTTCCGAGTGGCGGGGTGGRTGTGTTGGCAGAGATGGTCGATCTTGTGACCAGCGATTTGCTATAAGAACATGCGGATCAGCAGATCGATTTTGTGGAATGGGAGGCAATACTACAGCTGCCCTTGCGTGGGCGTCAGTATATGCACGGTGTGCTGCGTATAGGGGATGGTTATGATTGGTGAGGGATGTAAGAATTTGAACGGATATCTTGACTGCTCATTTGGTTATGGTGGTATGGAGGGACCGATTTTGGCGGAGGTCATGATTGTGAGGCGAGATGTGTAGTGTGGATCGCATTTTAGCGGTTTTTTTTTTTTGGGGGGGGGGTTTGGGGGGTTGTTTCAGTTCCTGCGGGAACATGATTGTCTTGTCTTAATCTAGTCTGAGGCTTTAAGTGCCCTCATCATTGATTAAATTTCGCCTATTGCGATTGCAAATACAACCGGGATGATATTTTGGCATATAAACAGTTCGTTTTTCATCGTTCAGGCAATACGAGCGATAATCGATTTCTAGTGTCGTATGCGGACGAACAGGATTTTGTACGTGTAAGAGGGCGATAAGTTGTGTCCAGTACAACGGGAGGGGGAAAGAGCGGGTGGGTCTATTGATGTCGTCTTGTAATAGCAAGAGTCTCTATTTTGCGCAGTTACAGGAATTATGGTATTCCCACAGCATCGTCCAAAAGACGTTACAATTTTTTTGGAATCTGACATAGTGTACTATTGGTGTAAGTAGGGTAGTGATTTGGGTGGGCCGCTCTTGTTCGCTTTCTGGTGCATGTGTTGGAGAGGATTTCTTAATATTGATCATATGCTTGTTTCGGGTGGGACGAATTAAATCACCAGTTGGTTTGTCTTGGGGTAGGTGTTTGATATAGAAGTTTTGTGGGTGTGCATGTGGGAATGGTGTGTTCGTTGCTTTATCTACTTATCCTTATGAATGCTAGCATATTGTCAACCTGAGTTTCTTTTCAGAAGAGAGACGTGTATGGTGGGATCATTTATCACACCGGGAAAGGCTTAATCGCAGGGCATAAACTATTTCCAGAATGAAGGAAACTAAAAAAAGAAAGACCGAAATGATTTTTGCAGTGTTCATCCTCTTTAGGTACAAGTTTCGATTGGCACGCAGTGTGCCATGGATCTGGAGATATCTATGCGTGCTCAGGAAGTTGGGTGACCTCCTTCGTGCGTCGATAGTTTTTATGAGTCGGCACAAAATCCCATGGTATTGTTGGAGCGCCAGACATTTGCGGCTGTGCGAGGGGGTAGAACGATGTCATAGGGACCGTGCGTTTGCGAGTGTGACGTGCGTGCAATGTTACCCTAGGATCAGTGTCAGTGTGCTTTTACTAATTAGCATATCAACCTACTGGTTCATCGATATTCACTTTCAGTATTGGATAGTAGGGTAACCATGCGTTAGGTTCGTACGGGTATCTATTTTCTGAAAGTTTGTGCGTAGTAGCTGTGAAGGGCTTCGATGGTCCCTTAATAGTGCAAGTGATGGGTCAGTCATCGGTAAGCCATATTTTATACGCATGAGAGTGATAGGAGAGCAATCTCAACTAGAGCTCGCTGCATGGAAGTATGTGACCAGTCGCACTAGGAAGTCCATAAGTGTTTTCCGCATCATCTCATATGGTCGATGGCGGCTTGAGTTTGGTATATTAAATAAGTGATCAACAAACTTCAGGACTGGCCGGGAGAATGAAAAGAGAAGCAACTAGGTGAGTTGATATGGCCAGGTGGGAATGGGAGTGAATTCCCAATAAAAAAAGACTATTATTGAAATTCAAAGATTGGTTTGGACTTAAAACAGGGGATTCCCTGGTAGCTCTGGCTTGCTCTCAAGATGTATTTCTCCCTCAGAGCTAGCAATGGTTGAGATTCAATGGTATGGTGGGGGGGAGAGCGAGTAATTAATGCAGGGACATAGCAGGAACGGGGGTAAGGGGCAAAGCGGTGCTAGATTTGGGATATCACATCTGGCGGCCGAGTCAAGGCTGAAGAGGAATTTTAGACCCCATCATACTCAGACATAGATGTAATCTCTTTCCTATGTTTCAGGGACGCTTGACCCAATTTCCAGCAGGTGCTGCTGCCCACCAATAGATTGGAGCCAGCAGGTGGCCTGCTACTTGTGAGGGCTTGTATCATCATCACTAGCAGACCCAACTGGTTTTGGTCAAAAAAAAAAAAAAAAAAAAAAAAAAGGCTGCCATGTTTGACTACCGGAAAGGCTCTTAGATACTTATCAATATTGGAACAGTCAGAGAAACTGGTTTCCCCACCTCTTCAACACCCCTCCGCTCCGCTATCGAGTTCTCACAGGGAGCTGGTGAATGGGCCTGAGGTTGGGATGGACAAATGCTTGTCCCATCCTCTGGCGTGTTTGTTTGTTTTCAGCTTGCATTCACGAGTTCGTGCATTCAACAATGCTGTGTGGCTAAAGGGGGGGGGGGAACTGTCGAAGGGGCTGCTGTCAAATTTCTTCTGACAGCTGTCCATTTTTTTAACATTTCGACAGTGGTACGGGCAGCCCCGGAATCTGGACTTCGCACTCAGGGTAGATTCATACTACGACTTTTTCAACTCAACACAGGATGTGACTACGGTCCAATGCATCGAGGTCATGCGTAATCACGGAGAAATACATTTCGAGGGTGCTAGTGTGCTCAGGAACCAATACATTTCGAGGGTGCTAGTGTGCTCAGGAACCAATACATTTCGAGGCTGCCAGTGTGCTCAGGAACCAATACATTTCAAGGGTGCTAGTAAGTTCAGGAACCAATACATTTCGAGGGTGCTAGTGTGCGTAGGAACCCGTGACTGTGGGTGCTCTCGCTGATTGGGTGCACAAAAATGTGTTTACGGGGTACTACAGACAACTTGTCTGGCCGCACTCCAGTCACAAAAGCTGGAAAATGAGAGGGTGCATCTTCAGGTGGAAGGTGGCAATATCCGCTACTATCTTTTGTGCCCGCCACAAGTGGCATGTATCTTGCCCGCTTCTCTCTCAGACTGAAGGTTCATCCGGCAGTCTTGCTGTGAAGATGCACTGGCCAGTTTTTGCCTTGTGGGCACGGATTATCAGCAACGACCGTCCCCCTACCGAGTGCGACAAATGGTGAATGCACCTTCCTGCATTGTGCACCGGATTTCACATCTGGTGGGTAATGGGATAATGGACCCAGGGGGGACCTAGGCCAGGAAGCCAGAAAGCGACTCTCGGT